TGCAGTGGCTCATGCCTGTAATCCCAGCACTTTCGAAGGCCGAGGTGGGCAGATAACCTGAGGTCAGGAGTTTGAGACCAGCCTGGCCAACATGGTGGAACACCATCTCCATGAAAAATACAAAAAACTAGCCAAGTGTGGTGGCACGCACCTGTAATCCCAGCTACTTGGGAAGCTGAGGCAGAAGAATCACTGGAACCCGGGAGGCGGAGGCTGCAGTTAACTAAGACTGCACCACTGCACTCCAGCGGGGGGAACAGAGTGTGGCTCTGCCTCACAAAAAACAAAAACAAAAACAAAAACAAAACAACAACAACAACAACAACAAAAACAATGTCTGCCTGCCCTCCCCAAAAAACCAAGCACCTAGAAATAAATCTAACAAAAAAAGAATGGGGGCCAGGCGCAGTGGTTCATGCCTATAATCCCAGCACTTTGGGACACCGAGGTGGGTGGATCACCTGAGGTCAGGAGTTTGAGACCAGCCTGATCAATATGGTGAAACCCTGTATCTACTAAAAATACAAAAATTAGACAGGCGTGCCGGTGGCGGGTGTCTATAATCCCAGCTACTAGGGAGGCTGAGACAGAACTGCTTGAACCTGGGAGGCAGAGGTTGCAGTGAGCCGAGATTGTGCCACTGTGCTCTAGCCTGGGCGACAGAGCAAGACTCCATCTCAAAAAGAAAAAAAAGAAGAGTGGGAAGCCCTCTACAATGAAAACTATAAATTATTGAAATACATTTTTTTAAAAAACTAAATGAATGAAGGAATACATCAAGTTCACGGGGCAGAAGACTCAATATTGTAAAGATACCAATTCTTCCTAAACTGATGGAGAGATTAATTTCAATCTCAATCAAAATATATGAAGGCTTCTTCGTGTGTATGGAAGCTGATATGCTGAATCTAAATTCATACAGAAATACAAAGCATTAGGAATGGCCAAGGCTGGCCGGGCACAGTGGCTCACGCCTGTAATCTCAGCACTTTGGGAGGCTGAGGCGGGTGGATCACCTGAGGTCAGGAGTTCGAGACCAGCCTGACCAACATGTCAAAACCCCGTCTCTACTAAAAATACAAAATTAGCCAGGTGTGGTGGTGCATGCCCTGTAATCCCAGTTACTCAGGAGGCTGAGGCAGGAGAATCGCTTGAACCTGGGAGGCGGAGGTTGCAGTGAGCCGAGATCGTACCATTGCACTCTAGCCTGGGCAACAACGACAAAACTCCATTTCAAAACAACAACAACAACAACAACAAAAAAAAAGAATGGCCAAGGCACTCTGAGGAATAAAGCTGGAAGATTTAACTATCAGATACTGAGACTCACAAAACTACTATAATTAAGGCAGTGTAGCAGGGGCACAAAGATAGACAAGACAGACACACACATATAAAGGTCTTGATTTATGACAAAGGTGCTCCTGAAATGCAACAGGTGAAAAAATATCTTCAATAAACACTTCTAGGTTAACTGAATAACTATGTAGGGGGAAAAAAATCAAGACCTTACTTCATATAATACACAAAAATGAATTATAGATGGATTGGGAATTTAAATGGGAAAGGCAAGCCTTTAGAAAACATGGGAGAATATCTTTGTGACCCTGGGATACACAAAGATTGTTTAAACATATGCAAAAAGCATGGCCAGGTGTGGTGGATCACCTGAGGTCAGGAGTTTGAGACCAGTCTGGCCAACATAGTGAAACCCCATCTCTACTAAAAATACACACAAAAAAATTAGCCGGGTATGATCACACATGACTGTAGTCCCAGCTACTCAGGAGGCCAAGGCAGGAGAATCGCTTGAACCCAGGAGGTGGAGGCTGCAGCGAGCAGAGATCGCACCACTGCACCACAGCCTGGGTGACAGAGCGAGACTCCGTCTCAAAAAAAAAAAAAAAAAAAAAAAAGACAAAATTAGTACATGTTATAATTATGAATTCTGGCTCATTAAGAGACACCTGGCTGGGCGCAGTGGCTCATGCCTGTAATCCTAGCACTTTGAGAGGCTGAGGCAGGTGGATCACTTGAGGCTAGGAGTTCGAGACTAGCCTGGCCAACATAGTGAAATCCCGTCTCTACAATAATTACAAAAACTTAGCTGGGTACGCATGTAGTCTCAGCTATTCGGGAGGCTGAGGTTGCACTGAGCTGAAATCACGCCACTGCACTCCAGCCTGGGGGACAGAGTGAGATTCTGTCTTAAAAAAATAATAATAAATAAATTAAATAAATAAATAAAAGGAGACACTTAATATTCAGGAAGTAAACAAGACAAGACACAGAGTGGAAACAGTATATGTAGTATATATACCCAACAAAGAGTATGGATGCAGAATCTATGAAAAACTCTGACAAATCAGTAAGAAAAAGGCAGACAACTCAACAGATAATCAAAGGACAACTTTAACAAAGATTCACAAAGGAGTATATCCAAATGCCAATAAACATATAAAAAGGAATTCAGCTTCATCATCATCAGAAGAATGCAAATTAAAATCATGAGAAACCACTATGTCCCACTAGAATAGATAAAATCTTAAAAGACTGGTAAAACCAAGTGTTGGTGAGGATGTGGAGCAACTATCACTTTCACACGTTATTAACAGAAGTATGAATTGGTTCAACCATTATGGAAAAGAGTTTGGTAGAACCTATTTAATCTGAATACATATATATCCAGATAGACCAGATAGATATAAGATGGACATATAAAAATCAGTAGTTTTCCTACATACTACCATAGCTTGTTTAAAAATATAAAAAGTTTACTATAGCATCAAAGATACAAAACATATAACCTTAATTTAAAAATGTTAAGACTAGCTGGGTGTGGTGGCATGCATCTGTGGTCTCAGCTACTTGGAAGGCTGAGGCTGGAGAACTGCCTAAGCCCAGGTGGTCAAGGCTGCAGTGAGCTGTGATCATGCCACCTCACTCCAGCCTGAGTGACAGATCAAGAACTTTTTTTTTTTTTTTTTGGAGACGGAATCTTGCTCTGTCGCCCAGGCTGGAGTGCAGTGGCCGGATCTCAGCTCACTGCAAGCTCTGCCTCCTGGGTTCATGCCATTCTCCTGCCTCAGCCTCCGGAGTAGCTGGGACTACAGGCGTCCGCCACCTCGCCCGGCTAGTTTTTTGTATTTTTTAGTAGAGACGGGGTTTCACCGTTTTAGCCAGGATGGTCTCGATCTCCTGACCTCGTGATCCACCCGTCTCGGCCTCCCAAAGTGCTGGGATTACAGGCTTGAGCCACTGCGCCCGGCCTTATTTCATCTTTTTGAAAAAGGCCTAAGAATAAGCGAAAACATTTTGGAAAATAATAAAGGAGATTTAAGTTATCAAATGAAATGGGATTTAAAATGTCAAAATGGAATATTAAGCTACAAATAATTATTACAACCGTGGTACTGGCATGGAAATGGACAAAAAGATCAATGGAGGAGGGAAGCACAGATACGAAAACACATAGGATCATCTCAGAGGCTTCTGGAACTCAACCCTGACTAAACTAAAAGCATCACTTTCCCTCTTTACAAATGCTAATCATTCAGCAAGTGGCACAACACTACTCAGCAGCAAGCCAGACACTTTCGAATCATCCTTATATTCCTCCTTCAAATCCAACATCCAATTCGTCAGCAAGTCTAACAACCCTCAACCCACTTAGCCAGTTCTGTAGATTTCACCACCTAAAAATATCCCTCATGATTCATATTCATTTTCAGCATCCCAGTTCAAGTTACCACCAGTTTTTGCCTGGGTCATTGCGTTAGCACCTAATTAGGTTTCCCACACTCACTTTTATCCCCGTCCAAATTTATTCTCCAAATTACAGACAGCATGATCTTTTAAAATCACAAATGTAATTATGTAAATACCACTTAAAACTCTTTAATGCCTTCTCACGTTCTTAAGACAAAATGCAAAATCCTTAATTTGGCCTATCATAATAGCTTATTAACGGGTAAACAGACTCCAGACAGCTTCCACTGTATTAGAATATATCCTTTAACATATAAGTAATATGGGAAAAAATTCAGTTATTTTTAATATGCCTTATTAATAAAGTAACTATAAAATGCTCTTAAACCTAAACAGTTTCACTCCAGGTTCAAGAATCTTCAAGTGTCCTCGTTTTCCTCTATTTGCCATAGAGGTAATGCTCCCCTACTCCTCCTAGTTTTCTCAATTGCTCGTCCCTTTGCATGGACCTTCCCTCATGCCCTTGCATAAAGGCGCCTTTCTTAGAGAAGCCCTGAACTGTGGGAAAAGGTCAGGTCTCTTGTTATTATCTCTCGAACCAACCAAATTTTCATTGTGATTCTGATTAACTATTTATATAACTCTTTCCCACTATGTAAGTTTGATGAGGGAAGGGTCACATTTGTTACTGTTTACTGTTACATTCTCAAAGTCTAGAACTGTGCCCAATAAATAGGTGTTTCTTAAATTTGCTGAACAAATTAAATATGAATTTTAATTATATATATAGAGCTAAAACATAATGATGCCTTCATGGGCAACTCGTGAAGCTCAGTAAAAGACCACCCAATCATCATGATTCAATTGCCTTAGCTACATCTCCCCTTTTGGGAGGGAGTTGAGAGGAGGACTTCTCAAATTGTGAGACGGTGTACGACATGCTGTCTAATTCTAATGTCAAGGATAATTTGTGAAATCAATCGGCTTAATGTGAACTAATCAGTTCAAAATCTCAGGGAAGTACTATGAGAAATTACAGATTGTTTCCCTCTCCTTTACTCTGAAGAGAAAGTATAAATTAAGTCTAAATGACTTCCCCCGCCCCACCAGATTACTTTGATATTCAAGGTTATATTCTAGTATAAGAATAGTTGAAGGCGTTTGAAGTCTGATTACCCATTAATAAAATACTATTCTTTTCAGGAATATACAGACTTTAGTTCTCTATTATTTTAAGACTTTACTTCTGTTAATGGAAAACAAGAAAGTTCTTCTAGTCTTTCAGTACTTACAAGTGAAGGAACCGTGAATATCTGAACCGAGAGGTCTGCGACTGAAAACTCTCTGTCGTGGTCATCTGTCACATAATCACTCTGCAAACGCTCATAGTTCTATTAAGAAGGCAAAAAAAGGCAAGGAGTGCCAGCTATCAGTTACAAAGAAAAGGCAAGCACTACTCACCAGAGTAGGTGCGGTGAAGAACTGGACAGACAGAGCAGTCACCGACACTGCTCGCTCGTGATCATCCTCCATAAAATCTCTCTGCAACTGCTGGTAATTCTAAACAACAAGGGGGAGATTCACCTCTAATCCACATTGACCAAATGTTTAAGGATTATAATGAAAAGTCAGTGCTGGAGGAAGTCAAGAAGATAATACTGCTATAAGAACAATAACTGGAATGATTTCTACCAATAGAATCCTGTATAGATATTGATTCACTATGGAATCTGTGGAATCCTGTACAAATACTGATTCTTTCTTCTGAAGCACAATGGCAGTTTACCAGCCCAAGTAGGCAGTAACAGCTACTAAGCTCCCAGGTGTCATTGCACGCCGGTAGAGTTAAACCTCAGCAGCATTACACTGTTTCTGATGAAGTCAGACTTTCATTACTTCTGCATCATATCAGAATCATCTGATGACTCTTCCAAAGCATACACGCTTGGGCCTCCATTCTTGGCTGATCTGTTTCAGTAGATTTGAGAATGGAACACAACACATGTATTTTGAAAGAGCTCTCCAAATGATTCTCATATACTTCCTAATTCAGGTGAATGCAAAAAAATAAGCAGCTAGCTTACGCACATGCTGCTAAAAGGGAGAACTTAATTCAACTATATCAATAACCTAGAGTTTTGAAGAGACCTTGTTTCTCCAAAAAAAAAAAAAAAAGCAAAATACGTGTTTTCTTTAGCACAAAATAGCTGCAATCTCTTTATAAAATCAAAGTTTTCTAAATATAATTTTCTAACAAAATATACAGGCTATTTAATTTGGATCATGCCCACCCCCCCAAAAAAAAATCTGTAATTTTTTTAAAGACTAAGACTGCAATGTTAATTTTAAAATGCACAAATATATTTATTAAATCATATCCATATATATGTCATTTAAATTGAGATTAGTTTCCTTATATGAATTTTAATAGAAAATACACCACAATTCACAATGGCATAGGTTTAAATTCTTCATTTATTATTTCATAAACATTGCATAATAGATGGATACTCATGTTATCACAGGAGGTGATGAACAAGAGGTCTCACTGCTATAATTTTATTCTATTGATAGAGAATGAAAAGATTTAATAAGTTTCTTAGAATTTAATATCAACATATTGACATATTACTATTAGATGTTAATTTTTTGAAGCCTAGATATAATTATGGGCATAGTTATTCTATATATAACCTATTTTGAAAATTGAAAAGCCACTTACTTTTGCAAATCGAACAGCAAACAGTTTCTTGTATTTCAAATCCATAAGCAGACTGCTCATGAACAACTGATGATATACGCTCCTAGCACCTTGTAGAAAAAGATCATGGTATAAGATAAGGACACGCCAAACAATTAGATTTCTCAAGTTTTATGTGATCTACAGTGGGTTTTTTTTTTTTTAACTTCTGAGACAGTATCTTGCTGCGTTGCCCAGGCTGGTATTAAACTCCTGGGCTCACGCGATCCTCCTGCCTCAGCCTCCCGAAGTGCTGGCATTACAAGTATGAACCACCATGCCCAGCCAACACAGTTTTTTTTTTTTTTTTTTAAAAGAGATAGGGTCTTGCTTTGTTGCTCAGGCTGAACTCAAACTCCTAGCTCAAGTGATCCTCTTGCCTCAGCCTCTTGTGTAGCTGGGACTACAGGCACACACCACTGAGAATGGCTTGTATTTTAAGCCTCAAAAACAAAAGTAAGCCATATATGGTGGTATGCACGTGTAGTCCCAGCTACGAGAGAGCCTGAGAAGGGAGAATTGCTTGAGCTCAAGAGTTTGAGGCTGCAGTGATCAATGATCATGCCACTGCACTCCAGCCTGGGCAACAGAGTGAGATCCTGTCCCTTCAAAAAAGGAGCAAAATACCTGTTTTCCTTAGCACAAAATATTTGCAATGTTTATAAAACCAAATTTTCTAATCATAATTCTGTAACAAAATATAAAGTCCATTAAAGTTGGATTATGGACCCCTCCCCCACCAAATCTATATTTTTCAAAGACTAAGACTGCAATGCTAATTTTAAAAAGTAAAAATACATTTATTAAACATCTTCCCAAATGATAAAGTTTCACATCCCAATTAGTTATATAGGTTCCTCCACACCTTAAAAGTAGTTAAAAGATTCACCTTTCCATAATTTGGAATCACTAAGCATCAGTCTGTCCACTAGAGAAGAGTTTTCACCATCTGGCCCTTCCTGCAAACCAACTTGACATAAAATCCGGCGAAGGCCATCTTTAAATAGAAGGAAAAATAGTAATGAGATAGCAACTTCAAATATTAAAGTGACATTTTAGTAGATGTTCAAATGGATCTGTACAGTTTTAAGTGTTTTATTAAAGGTCAAATTTATTCAGAAAAAGCAAACATGTTAACAGTTTTATTAATATTTTAACAAAAAGGAAATGAATTTCAAATCTCACATCACACACTACTACTCCTGAATGTCAAAACATATGCCTGTCATAAAGGCAATAATCTCTTGTGCTTTAATGAATTTAATTAAAGAGAAAAACATCCAAAAACCACTTAATATTGTTCTTCAAGCACTAATTAAATCAGATTACAGTAAAAGTGTTATACATTCCATAACTGAAACATAAAACATGCTACCATTTAAAAGGAGGAATGCATGACTTCTGCACTATAATATATACCAGTACATTTTATTAATGTTTCATAAAAAATGCTTCATTCATTAAACAAAAACTTATTGTGGACTTGCCATGTGAGAGACCCTGGAAAACACATTACTACAACCTTTTAAATGTAAACTTTAGAAATGTTCTTCAAATATTAATATAAGCATTAAAATAACCAAAACTTTAACTTGTTCCATACATACATATATATACACACACACATATATACACACATATATACACACATATGCCTGGGATTACAGGCATGCGCCACCACACCTGACTAAATTTTGTATTTTTAGTATAGACAGGGTTTCACACCATGTTGGACAGGCTGGTCTGAACTCTTGGGCTCAAGTGATCCACTTGCCTTGGCCTCTCAAAGTGCTGGGATTACAGACGTGAGCCACTGCGCCTGGTCCCATACTTTATAATTTAAATAACTGTTTTCATCTTTTTCAAGCATGCAAAATAATAAAAAATTAAAAAATGGAATAACTTTTAATTATAAAAGCTGTCAAACAGAAATCCTTTAAAAGGCTAAAGAGAAGACCTATGTAAGTATTAAATAGGAATATATAAATTATTGATAAATATCTCAAAGAAAATTTTCAGTAGGACATTACTTCCATTATACTCTTCATTAATACTGTGGCACAACACTTGGCATGCAGGTATCCAATGGAAAATACCAAAATAAAGAATATGGGGCTAAGAAAAATAATTGGAAAGATATTTGTTTATTTTCTTTTAAAAAAAATTTTAGATAGAGACGGGGTCTCCCTATATTACCCACGCTGGTCTATGAACTCCTGGGCTCGAGGGATCCTCCCACCTCAGCCTCCCAGAGAGTTGTGACTAGAGGAGCGGGCCACCGTGCTGGCCTGGAAAGATAACTTATAAATTATCTTTTAAAGTAAACACGTTCTCTTAATCTTCCACACCTCCGTATTTTCAACTCTCAGTTCTGTGTAGTAATGTTCTTTTTTAAAAGCCCTTCAAAACAAATGTATTCAAATTTTTCTTTACAGTAAACATCTGAATGTCACTTATCCACAGTCTTGCCTGAAGAACAGCATAACAGCTTATATTGATCTCTGTTTTACACTTTACTGTTACACACCAGGCTTGTATTTTTGGCTGCGGGTATGAGGACTCTTAATTCTTACCATTACATAAAGAAAAATGATTGAATTTCTAGACCCTGGAAGTTTTTTTTTTTTTTTTTTGAGACAGAGTTTCACTCTTTTTCCTAGGATGGAGTGAAGCGGCGTGATGTTGGCTCACTGCAACCTCTGCTTCCCGGGTTCAAGTGATTCTCCTGCCTCAGCCTCCTGAGTAGCTGGGATTACAGGTGCATGCCACCACGCCCGGCTAATTTTTGTATTTTTAGTAGAGTTTTGCCATGTTGGCCAGGCTGGTCTTGAACTCCTGACCTCAGGTTATCCACCCGCCCTGGCCTCCCAAAGTGCTAGGATTACAGGCATGAGCCATGGCACCCAGTGGAAATTTTTTTTTAAAACACAAATTGGTAACTTCCAATTTGCAAACTTTCAGAGTTGCAAGTTATTGGTAACCAAAAGTTGTAGGAATCAAAACAAAGAAATCAACATTAGTGTTTTATCATTTAAACAGCTAATCACTTAGGTTATTTACAGCAGCGTTTTTCCAGCTTACTCAGTAGAAGAGTTCTGCAAAATGCTCCACTAAAAAAAGTTAAAAAAAAAAAAGTTTGTGAAATGTACATTGCATTGTATTAGCATATTAATGTCCTTTACAATTGTTTAAACCAATGTTTCCTGCGTTTATTTGAATAGAGAATCCTTTGTGTGCATATAAAAAATATCCAGTATGACAAAATTTGTTAAACATAGGATTTTTTCTTGCATAAAGATATTTTGAAATGGTATTTTAAAATGTAAAATTAAAGCAGGAAATTATTCCAGTTGACATTTTTTCCAAAACAGTTTTGCAACGGTCTATTGAGCTCATTTTTAATAGACAATTGGCATGAACTTTTATGAACCTACCTGAATATCCAATAATACTTCCCAGCCAAGACAAAAGTTTCAAACCAAAATTCTGATGTGCGACGATAGACGAATGCATAACTTGAACTTTGAGTGGCTTTGTCTGTCTACTGGTATTTCTCTTAAAAAGAAATGGCAACATTTAAAAATTAACTTAAAAAGCTATTCTATTGGCAGAACAAAGTTATTATTTTTACTTAATATAACCACACCATCATCATCACAGAATTTTTCATGGATGTAAGAAAATCACCATTCTCCTTGCCTTATTTGATTCAGATCCTAATTTTCTAGAGGAAATCTTAGGATTCATACAAAAAAAATGAAGGTTCCGCTAGTTTATGAGTAATCTGAATTTTTTTTTTTTTTTTTCCTTTTTTTGAGGCGGAGTCTTGCTCTGTCACCCAGGCTGGAGTGCAGTGGTGCAATCTTGGCTCACCGCAACCTCTGCCTCTTGGGTCCAAGCGATTCTCCTGCCCTCAGCCTCCCAAGCAGCTGGGACTACAGATGCGCGCCATGACACCTGGGTAACTGTTGTATTTTTAGTAGAGACAGGTTTCACTATGTTGGCCAGGCTGGTCTTGATCCCTGACCTCAAGTGATCCAGTTGCCTCAGTCTCCTAAAGTGCTGGGATTACAGGTGTGAGCCACTGCACCTGGCCAGTAATCTGAATCTTTAGTCCTGTATTTGAAAATCTGCTGTACCAATAATAAATGATTTAAATGTTTTAGCTTGCTTTATGGCTTTAATTTCTTAACGTAATTATGTACTTACTTAAATAATTTATTGCATAGATGTGATGCTATCAACTTTTTTTTTTTTGAGACGGAGTCTCACTCTGTCACCAGGCTGGAGTGCAGTGGTGCGATCTCTGCTCACTGCAACCTCTGCCTCCCAGTTTCAAGCTATTCTTCTGCCTCAGCTTCCTGAGTAGCTGGGACTACAGGTGCGCACCATCATGCCTGGCTAGTTTTTGTATTTTTAGTAGACACAGGGTTTCATCATGTTGGCCAGGATGGTCTCGATCTCTTGACCTCATGATTTGCCTGCCTCAGCCTCCCAAAGTGCTGGGATTACAGGCATGAACCACTGTGCCCAGCCCATGTTATGAACTTTTTTTTTTTTTAATCATAGCTGGGCACGGTAGCTCACATCTGTAATCCCAGCACTTTGGGAGGCTGAGGCAGGCAGATCACCTGAGGTCAGGAGTTTGAGACCAGCCTGACCAACATGGTGAAATCCCGTCTCTACTAAAAATACAAAAATTAGCCGGGTGTGGTGGAACATGCCTGTAATCCCAGCTACTTGGGAGGCTGAGGCAGGAGAATCATTTGAACTTGGGAGGTGAAGCTTGCGGTGAGCCGAGATTGCACCATTGCACTGCAGCCTGGGCAACAAGAGTGAAACTCTGTCTCAAAAAAAAAAAA